TATACACTTCCTTCCCCCCCTCCCTGCTTTGAAAGTGAGAAGTGGGGGGAGGGCAGGGCAGGAGGGAGTAATGTTTTGGGATGTTATGCTAAAAACCTGAGGCTAGTCAGGTGTAATGTAGTTTAGGATGTCTGCTTGAAGATATTTGCAACTGTGAGGGACAAATTGCAGCTTTCACCTCGTGTGCATGCAGTTGAGTTCAGTGGGTGACTTGCTTGCCAAGGCAGAGGTGGGCCGTTTTGCTTTATCATTTTCTCAGCCCTAAACCTCTCACTTTGACCAGATTCCCCAGCCATAACCCAGCTGAGAACCCACTCCTTGTGGGCCCTTAGGATTTCTCATCCATCCTGAACCTTAATTTTATGCTGAGCTTTGAGCAAAGTGCATAAATAACAAGCATCTTCTCTTTGCTCCTATGGGAGATGGCACCACAAGGTAATCTTGATGCTACGTTTTCTCTGTGATGGGGGATGAAGTGATTTCTACTGCTGCTGTTCCTTCTCCTCTTTCACTCCAGTGAGGGATGATAGGGGTCATAGCATGAAATAGGGCAGTGGGAATGACTGTCACAGTGTATATGGGCTTTGGATTGATGTGACCCAGATTTGTATGGTTTGCCTCCTCCCCTATTGTGTTTCCTTTGATGATGAGGTGAGAGGAGAGACTGTGTTCTCTTCTGAGATGCCCATGGGTCACATTACGTTTGGTCTTTATTAGAAAACAAGCCCCAAAATCTCCCTCTCTTCAAACCTTCCAAAACAAGCTGTGGCTTGCGGATAGGATTGAAATAGGTATAAGCAAATATGAATTACTTTTCTGAGGTCCTGAGGCTCAGTTTGCCAGTTTCAATAATATCTTTGGAAGCAACAAAGCCAAACTCTAGGTCATATCGGCAGTGTGTTGACAAAGTGATATGATTTTATTTGTTAAAATAGCAGTCAAAAGATTGTCAGTGGTAGTGATGGTTGTGAAAGTAATCTTTCAGGAAACCTTCCAGTTGCAGGGACAGGCATAACCTTTTTTGGAGAGAAGAACACCAAGACTGGTTTTTAGAAGTATATTTGCATTTCCAGCAATATCTCATAACGAATTCATCTTTAACCTTATTTCACAGTGGTTTTAGAATATAGATGGTCCCCTGCACCCTTCTCCCCTTTTGTGTGTGTGTGTGCATACAAGTGGGTGCTTCTGCAAGGGTGTTGTATCATAAAGCAATTGTCATTTACTGACTTTCTGCACCTGAAGCTGCTTCTTTTGGGCATTTGAGCTGATTTCACGCATCCTGGCATGTGCAGATCTCTAGCCTGGTCCTGACCAACCCTTTATCTGCGAGCACCTTGCAGCTCTGCATGTCCACGGTGCGAAGGCAGCACCAATGTCAAATGCAGTGCCATGGGAGAGGAGTGAGTATGGAAGTTCCCCCCTTGCCGGCACTCCTGTCTTGCTCATGTGTGAAGCCATTCCACATGACCCTAACTGCATGTTGCCCATCAGTTGCTCACTGCCTTCAGCTGTGGGCCTGTGGTGGGCAACACGCTTACTTTCTTTGGCTTGCTTGCATTAAAAGCAGAGGAAAAAGAGAATTTCACCATCCTGTCTGGCCAGTGGTGTGATCAGTAGCCAGGTCTGTTTTGATAGGGCTGGATCCCACCTTTTCACAGGTACGCATCTGTGTGTGTGTACACAGTCTTAGATGAACTTTTTGCAGGAAGATCCTGCAAAAGTAAGTAAGTATACATGTATGAATTTAAGTGACCTGATTTATTCTGTTTTATTTGGTCTGTTTCTCTCCTCTTCCTTCTTTTCTTCCAACTGCTAGGAAGGTCCTGCATTTTTCTTTGCTATGCTTGACAAATGTGTTTCACATGAATTTGGCAGGCTTTTGAAAAGAAGGATTGAGCTTCTGTGACTACTTTTATTTTTAAAGTTTTTTTTCCCTTATACATAAAGCTATTAAAAGGTACAGTTGGTTGCCTGGAGAGAAAAGCTAATACAGAGAAGAGGATTTACTCATTAGTATCTCAGTCATGTATCTTGTATCTTAACTATTCAGTTATTTCCTTCATGAAATATAAACATGTGGTTGCATAAAAAAGTCAACTATTCTATCTGACCATCTTGAATCTTAAACAAAGATGATATTGTTTTGAATGTGTTAAGAAAACCTCCCAGATATTTTTCCTATTTGCAGAGATTATGGTAAACCTTAAATTCAGAATTAGATACCTGAAACCAGGCAGATTTTCAGACCCAATTTTTTTAGATTAATGGAAGATACATTGCAGCTGTCTAACGTATTTTCATGAATACTTATGTTCTGCATGTCTTGTAAAAGGATATAAGAAAAGGCAGTAGTGTTGATTTGTATGAAGGTTTGCTTGCATAAAAATGCAACAAGTACTGTGGCCTGTAGTTCGCTGTTGAAGGTTAGGGCCAATTCAAAAAATTCAGGTGCCCATTGGTTTTGGTGGGTCCAAGCTTGAGAATGAACAGTAAGGTCTACATATTAAACAGCTCATCTCTATTTTGGTGCCCATTCACTTTTTTTTTTTATCTCTTGAGCAACAAAGCATGCATTTTAGGTTATTCTTCCAGAGCTACCTGAGAATTCTGGCTTTCCTTATTCACACCAGCTGCCAGCAGATTTTAAGGTGTGTGTCTCTGTGTCCTTGAATGAGCTATCATAGATGCTGGTGACAGGCTGAGCTTTGAAATGTTTTTTGCAGCCAGCACAGAGTGCATGGGGAGAGAGTCATTACGACCACTTATAGACAATACTTGCTTCATATGTTAGTCTTCTAATAATGAGCTCTTCTCTTTGAGCTGGGGAAGCTAAAGGACTTTGTCATGGTCCACAAAAAGATCTGAGCAACACTTACACATGCTGCTAGGTTTGGTCAGTCAACCAAATTTAGGTTTCATCTTTTGTGTGGCTACCAGAGGTGTCCAAACTCATGTGATTTTTTTTTTTTTTTTTTTTTTTTTTTAGTTTAATGGCTTAAATTAAAAAAACATTAGGCTGTGTGTTTTGAAGATAGGACTTTCTAGTTATGAAGTTCAGTGGTTCTTTTTTGCCATTACTAGTTTAATGTGCAGTACATTCCTCAGCAAGGTAATTAAATACAGCAGTTTGTTTAGATAAATACAATCAGATAAGTTTGTAATAGGAAGAGATTTGTGTTTGTAGATGCTGTATCAGCTCCAGGTGTAAACTGAACCACCAGAAGACTGTGAAAGGAAAGCTCTAAGCCTTGTGTGGTTGGTTATTCTGGACACATTTCCAGCATATTTGGAGAATATTATACTGCACATACATCAAGATTATACAAAAACTGATTGTAAGTTCCTGAGCCACCTATTCGCATAAAACTCCAACTGATAGGTTGTCAGACTAGTGACCTCAGCTATAACCCTCACAGCACTGTGTGTGCATGTGTAGCATGGGATCATTCTGATATACCACAGTGGTATCTTTTGAGGGTGTTTCTTCATATGTGCTACAGAACTTCCCCATATGAGCTGATGACTTGACTGCCTTGGCTGTGAAGTCTTAACTGAAACTAGGTGTTAATCATCCTTCCCTCCTCCCACTTTATTTTTACATGAAGGTTCATAATGTCTTTTATTTAAATTCTTATGGATTTAATTTGGACAAGGATCTTGCTGTCTGGATGGTTAAGACTTGAAATTTTCCCAACTTCAATCCACTTCAGTGTGTTTTATTCGTAGTGCCACAGAAAGCAAAGATGCACTTAACGTTCTTACATATAACAAAAGGTTACTGCTGACAAAATGTCCTTTCTTTTATCTTCCTTGGGGTTTTCAGAATGTTTTGCAGAAGTGAGCTTTTATTTGACTTTTGGAGTGCTGAAGAATCTCTGATACTGTTCATGGGTTAAATCTCTGGGTGCCACAGATCTGTTAGGCCTCAGTGTCTTTAGTTCACACTGCAGGGTTCAGTGTTACAGATGTGTACTTTAAAACTTTGTGATTTCAGACTGGAATGTCTGCATATGTTGATTTTCTGTCAGGGTTATACAAGCGGATGCTACATGTGCATGCATATGCACATGTGCATGCAAATGCACGCATGTAAATTGGTATTTATAATGCTGAATGAAAATTAATTATAAATATAAGGATAAGAAAGAAATGGCATGAGAACATATTTTCACAACAGTATACTTACACAAGTGATATGAAAATATGGAGTTTTCTTGTAGTTTGTCTTAGCTACTGTGTTAGGTCTTTTTTTGCTATTTACTTAATGGCTTAAACCTTGGTCTTACCTTTTGGTTGTTCAACTGCAGTTGCCATCCTGCTGTAGTCTGTGTTTCCAAGATGGGCAGGAGTTACTGTGTGTGCCTCAGGTAGTTACGGAAGGCATGATGTGAAGGATGGGCTGGAAGGTTGCCCACAGCATTCTGCAGTATTACAGGGACACCACCCGCTGCCCAGTACCTTTGTCCTGCTTTTGGAGCTGATTTGGTAAAATAAATAAATAAAAGCCACTGAAAACTAGAGGCCAAAAAGAACAAGAAAATGCATTTCTGAGGGTGGATTTGTCTTCTGTTGACACAATTTGGTTTCCTTTTTGTAGCATGAAAGTTCAATAACTTTATTTCTCCATGCTGTGTTTTAAAGGCACATTCCAGTTGTGTTTCTGCTCAAGAAAGTTTTCAGTAAGGAAGCACTCTTACAGTGATTTTGGATTTCTTCCAGTAACTGAAGAGCTTATGGTGCCTAACTGGGATTTATTGTAACCGAACAGGAAAAATCCTGAAATACAGGACTGCGTAGTTGTATAAAACCATTGTTTCCTGTCGTTTTACAGTTGCTTGACCTTGAATTAGAGCAATGTCTTTGAGTGTCTGCAAGACACAATACAGTATGAACTAATCATTTTAAACATCTATTATAGCCTTGGGTTTTGTTTTTCTTTTTAATTAATGCATTACATAAAATTGCTAAATTTTCCTGTCCTGTTTTCTGTATTTCAGGCTTGAGTCACAGAGTAACGTGGGGATTTACACTTTTGAAGTAGGAATGTGAATGCAATTGAAGGATTTATATGGAGGATTCTGTTCCTTCCTGCTCCAGGAAAGACAGGTGAGTGAATTGTGAGATAATTTGTAATTAGCTCAGTCCTTACTTCTGAAGGTCTTTTGTCAAAACAGGAAGGTACAATTCAGATAGCTGTATGTAAAAATAAAAGAATACACTTCTTAATTGCAAACATCAGTCTTCAGGATTTTCCATTCATGTTCAGTAATAAGAAAGTTTCCATAAAACGTGGTGTGAGTTTTCTATAAGTTCCCGTATCCTCCTATCTCTTTTTGATGTAGAACTTTTTATATTTGGACGCTTTTTGCCCAATGCCAAAGAAATCTGAACTGACAAAACTGACAGCCTTTTTTGAAGCAGTTCTGAAAGAGGCTGCAACCAGAGAAAAGCTCAAGGTGGAGCCTTATTAAATCCCTGTATGTAGTTGTTAGTGAAAGAGACAGGTCAGCATCAGCACCAGATATGTTTATGCTTCGTCTGGGCTACTTGTGAAACGTTAGAGTGGAGGTGATGTGTGAATTAATTCCAGTGGCTGCAAACCCAGGTTTGGTATCTTGCTTCTGCCCTCTCTCACCACTTCCTTGCCCTCAGATGGGAAGAGAAAAACTAGGGGCTAAATGCAGTAGGCAGTAGATGGGAGTTCACTTAAGGATGACTTTGGCTCTGACTGTAGATAAGTGGGGCTATCATTAGAAAAGGGCACACATTATTGTTTCTTTGATTTATTTTTATGGAAATAAAATCTTAACATTCTTATTTCTTCCAACTTTGGGAGTACCCAGCATATACCACCTTTAGGCTTCACCGTCCAGGGCAGCTCGGGATGACCTCCTCAGTTTTCCCATTGTGCACATTTGGGCAGGGAGTGCCATAAAAAAAAAAAAAAGTGGATGTGGATAAGACTCTGTCAGCTTCAAAGAGCCAGAACTGAGATGTTGCCATGCTGCCTACACCCTGCAGCCCAAGAGCAATGCCTCGGGTGGTGTAAGAAGAAAAGACAACATAATGGTGTTGAGGTCTCAGGGACTAAGTCTGAGGTTTTGACTGAAGCAGAGACTGGAGGAGATGCAAGTGTGTGCTGGACTGGAATAGGAGGTATATGGTAAGGTGAAGCAGGCTGCAGTGAGGTAGGGGAGTGTCCCAGCACTTAGAAGGGGAGAAAGGTAGGCAGCAGGGCAAAGTTGGTGTCAGTGGTGTATCAAAGCATCTGGAGCTCAGTGGATGAAGGAGGGAAACAAATGGGAGTAGCAATTTGTGTGGCTTGTCCAGATCAAAGAGTAGGATAAAAAGATGCAGTAGAGTGTGAAGTGGGTGGGAATATTTTTATTGAACCCTGTACACCAAACATATTTTTTTTTCCTCCAGAGATGTTTCTTGGTGGGCTGTACTTGAGAGCAGGTATGAAAGTCTCTGCTGCAGTTTCTGAGAGAGAAAAAGTGAAGACAAATTTGGGGAACCAGAAAAAAGGGTTGAAAACTGTGCTGGCAATAATGAGAAAAGAAGTGTTTTGAGGGGGAGTTTTGGAAGGTAATTGGAAAGCAGGGATCTGCATCAGGAAAGATGGAGTGGTAAGATTTGATTTCCAGGTTTCTAATTTTTTTTCAGTGGTATCATGGGAATGGCAGCTCCTATTGGAGGGAGGGAAAAATCAGCTTTCTTCAGATAGCACAGGAAAAGGCTCACTAGATATGCTTGCATGGACGAAGAATGATTTAATGTAAGTGTGAGAAAGTGATAGAAACATTTTGATCATACTTTCTGTATTTTCTGTTTTTTGAAGAGAGGCCTGCTTACGTTCACACAACTTAATAACCGTGAGCTTACAAACCCATATCTGTCTTGTGGTGCTTTCTAAAAATGTGCTCTATGTTATCCTATCTTTCATATACTGTCTTGCTTTGAAAAAACTTTATTCTGAAGTCAGTCATGAGGAAGTCTAGTTATATGCTGGTCTGCATATTCACTGCTAAGGGTAAGATTAAAATGGTTGTGAATACTTTAAAGATTTGAGCTTGCACAAATAGCATTTGTCGTGTAGTTGGTAGATGGGCTGTCACTCAGTGAGATGTGGCTCCTGCCTGAAACAAGAGCATGTCTGAAGCTGCCTTAATAGATCATAAATTGGCATAGTGTCTCAAAACAGTGACCAGCTTGGCAAAGTATAGAGTAATCTGCTTGTGGTTGTATTCAGTTTTACCTTGTGCCTGCTTTTCCTTTGGCTACAATTGTGCTTATGAAGTGCTTGTCGTTTTATCAGGATGAATCTGGAGGTGCCAAATATATGCCAGAAAAGTACTTGTTACCTTGATCTGTTTTCATGCAGTCTCTGTGTAGTATCATATGGGGCTGGGTGTCTCCTATTTTAACAATTGCTTAAATATGTTGATAAAGTTTGCTTTCAGCAGGGCACTGTGTTCTCCTGGACATCTTGGTGTTGTCTTCAGCTTGGTCTAAGTTAGTTTGAGGGCTTTGTGATCTTGTAGTGGTAAGAGGTAGGTGCTGATGCCTACTGTAGCATGGGTAGATGTGATTTCCAGTGCTATGGCACAGTGGAGGGTGGAGCTTGTCCAGGTGTAGCGATCCTGACCTTTTAAGGAACACTATACTTGCCTTGTATGTGCTTGCCTGATTGCTGTCCCCTCTGTATGCAAGAGCTGGTACTCGTGAGGCTGACACCAAAGCAACGTGACTTGTGTTTACAGCTTTCCACCACTGAAAGCAAGTATTCACAACCTTTCTTTATGCCTAGGAGCGTTTCCGTTCTTAGCTGAGCTAGCTAAGGAGCTTGTCCTCCATATGGCCATGTTGCTCTGTGCCTGTTTCTAACCCTGCACATTAATTAATTTTCTTTTCCTTTTCTTTTTTTTTTTTTTTTCCTTTCCCCAGACCCTTTCAGAATATAGGTATAGAAAGCATTATGTTGTATCTATAAGGATGCTGACCTAGCATCAGATGGAAGAGTATGATGAAGTGATAAATATTTCAAGCCCCTGGCCTTTTATCTCTGGTCTTTTTTTTCCTTAATGCTTCTCAAAGTTAAGTGATTGAAAAGCTTTCCAGATCTGATAACTGTAAAGATTTCAAGTGAAACTTTTGGCTTCTATCCTGGCATGAGATCATACAAAGTGATATTAGCTGAATTTGTACCAGAATTTGAAAAGAAAATGTTGCTTTAAGTCTCTCTCAGCTATTTTTCACCACTGCTGGGCAAATGCTTTCTCATTGGTTAATGTCTGTGTACCATTTTAAAGGTTTCAAAAAACATATGTGTGTACATATACATTTTCTCCACTAATAATGTATTAAATTTGTACTCTTTTGATATTTTATCCTTGCTAGCAGGACTCCTCGGATTTTTTGTTTGTTTTTTTTTTTTTTTTAATAGAAGTTTTAAAATCTAGTGTTGCTGCGAAAACTCATTATAAGAGAAAGCATGTACTGAAACCCTGTTTCTATTCCAGAATTATCTTAAACCAAAATAGCGCTGGGGTACCTCATTTTTAACCTGTCTTTTGGCTGATTGCTGTGATAGGCCTTGGTGAAAGCAATGGTCTTGTACATATGTGTGTACCTATGAACAGTAATGATGTGTCAACTGCATGGGTTTTGTGAGTTTCCTGTACAGAAGCAAAATAAGATAAATAATGCCTTAAGTCAGGCCTTTACATTACCAAACAGGGCTGAACTTCAAGGTTGCAAAACCAAGCAATCAGACCCTAGAAAATTCTACAATTAAAGCTACTCATTCATTCTCTTGGTAAATATTCATTTTGATTGCCTTTAATTAGAGGATTGCATACTTCCCCCTCTCCCCCCACAAGGCCTGCATATCGTTCAGTGCACAGCATGGCTAATACTTAATGAGTGGGTAGGTTGTTGATGTTTTGTTTCTCACCCTTTCTTGTATGGCCTTATTTACTGTGTGGTTGGCAGATGGTGTGCTGAATACAGAACTAATCATTTCCTCATGGAGTTTTTAATGGTGTTAACACCATCAAGAGTTACTTGTTACTGTGTATTTTTCAGGGAATCTTAATCAGGAGTACCAAATAAGACATATATATTTTTATATATATATTTAACCAAACTGTGAACCTTGATTGTTAATGAGGGGAGATAGTTAAAGCACAGTCGCATTGATAGAAATCCTTACTGGAGGAACTAAAAGGTGCTATCGACTCTGTCCCCCAGTACCCCTTCTGTAGCAGCAGAAAACAGTGGGTCAGAGCTCATGCTGGGGCGTGAGATAGCTCCAAAACTGAAGGAATTTGGTGGAGATGTTATAAACAGCTACAGCTTCCCTCTACCCCACCAATGTTTGTATCTTCCTGTTGTTGATTGCATGTAGGAACATAGATTTGCCATACTGACTGTCATCTTCTGTAATCAAAGGTAACCATGCAGTAGATATTTTGTCCAGCAAGCTTAGAGTACCCATTCAGCAACCAGCTCTCCAGCATTCAGTGCATATTTCAGACCTGATAGAAATGAGCAAAGCTTCAAAACTTACAATAAGCTACAGGAAGAGAACACCCTTCATCTGGTTTCTGTCTTTGAAACTGTAAGCTCTTCAGGCTGGAGGCTCTGCCTTTCCATATGTCGATAAAACATTTCAAGCAGTACATTAGTATAAACACCAGTGGATGAGGTCATCATATATCAAACAACATAATTAAATCAGTGCTTTATTCACTGTCTGTGTGTCATTATGGCTGCCTCCTAGGTCACACTGCAGCCTTGAAGATCATGTAAGAACTTGAATGTTGTAACAGCCCTCATAGAAACATTTGCTTTGAAGTTGGTGCTATTTATTTAGAAACCAATCTTCAGAAAAATGTACTTTTGTAAAATGTGGTTCTATTTTGAAAAGCCATGTAAAAGGGAAACGCTTATTATTGATTTTTGTCATAAATTGCCATGCATGACTGTCAGCCCTCTGCTGCTGATCACATGATTGTGATGAGATTTCTTGGTTGATTAGAGGTCTGAAAGCAATTGAGTGGGTTATTGGAAAAGACCCTGTTTCTCAGAGAGGAGCGCAAGCT